TTTTCAACCCTCATGGTTTGAAACTGACTGCTTCCGAGGCTGAGGGTCTCAGGAAGATCAGACATTCCTCAGCCAACACTCCTGGTTTGACCTGTTTGAGGAAGATAATAAGTTTAGCTCCATCAAAAACTAGCCCAATCTATTCCTTGACATGCGAAAACAAAATACAAACACAAAAACAAATAAACAAACAAAAACTCTTACGCTCCTACCCCACATTGAATGGAATCAAAATAAGTATTTTTGTCAAATATTGTATAATAGGGGCCTTTTCTGGTTTTTATGTCTCAATCCTGTTTTTATAAAGCTTACACTGGGGACCAAACAAAGAAAGATCTTTTTAATGAAACCTAAATATTAAATCTGTTGTGTATTTTCCAAGTTACAAGAAGAAGTATTTTGGGAATTAGAACAAAGCTTGGGCTGCTTTTTCTTTTCTTTCTTAAGAATGAGATAGGGAATTGCTTTTGCCTTTATCTGGGAAGTTTTGGAACTTACCCAGGTGGTTAACTCCCTGTGTTCAGAACACAACTGTACTGTTCCTGCTTTATCTATCATTTTCTATGAAGTGCTCAAAGTTCTTGTTGTTCTAATCTGTTGCTGAGTTTTAGATGTCCTCTGAGGCTCAGGGAAAAGAAATTGAGCATTTGTTCCAGCAAATAGAAGGCCCAGTGAACAACCCAGTGTTTGAATTTTAAATAGGAGTGATTTTTAAAAATAAATAGAACAATAGCCATGAGATTTTAAAGTTCTTTAATCTTAAGTAGTTTGAATTCTAAGTTTGCAAAGATAGTTTTGTGGTGGACAAAAGTTTTTGCATTTAAAAACTCTCCTTGGGCTGTAGATGGGTCACCACTGAATGTTCATAAAACGATGAGCACCGGACAACAGATCAGCTTAAACAGATGCCTCTTAGACATGTAGTAGATATTAAAGCAGAAGTTTGGGCAGTTGGACATGGGGTTGTGTAGTTAAATCGTAAGAGATGATAAGTTAAAAACCACAGTTGACGGTCTAAGAAAGAGGTAGGACCTCATCATGTAGCCAACAACTTTGGTGCCATTGGCTTATAGATGTGTTAAAGCCTATCTTGGATGAGGTCACAAGGAACAGTGACGTTATTTTAACCAGGAGTGCTTTGAGCTTCTCTGTGGGAACTGTAGCATTTCTTTCTTCTTTCAAATGACCCCAGGAATTACATACAGTGGCATGAGGTCCTTAAGGTCTGTGTACCTTGACCATCTGTGCCAAGTTCTCCAGCTGCTGACTTCTTCTAAGGATGAAGTCTGCGGAGTCCATGTTCTCAGGGACAAACCACTGCAGTGTTCTCGGGGTTCTCAACTGTGTCTGTCCACCAGTGATCGCTGGTTCGCCTTTCAGAGAACTCACTGCTCACTGAGTCTATATTCCAGTTTCTACAGGATGGTATGTTCAACTCCTCGTGGGGCTGTTTAAATCCCAAACAAGCCATAGACCCACACACCCCACTTGACTTGCTTGGTGGGTACAACTGGCAAGAGGCTTCATTCCCCGAGTCCTTGCCATCAAGGGAAATTGGTGAACGGGTTCTAAGTGCCATTTCTTTCTTGGCCGTCTACTTGTCAAGTTTGTGAGTCCTCTGTCTTTGCCTTTATCTCCTGGCTGTTGTGTGGATCATGCCTGAGCCCTGTGGGACACGGTGCTTTGGAGAAGCCCATGCATCTCTTCGCCTCCCAGCTGAGGGAAGGCTGTGTACACTGACGTCCCTGTATCTTACAGGCTTTTCTGATGTGAGAGCAGGAAACAATGAAAGGTCACACCGGTCACTGTTCTTGTGACTGTAACAAAATACCTGGCAAAACAATGCAGGGAAGAAAGGATCATGGTTTGAGGTCATCCTAGTCCATCGTGGTGGGAAAGCGTGATGGGAGGAGTGCAAGTCAGCAGTTTTGTTGTGTCCTCAGGCAGAAAGCAGGGGTAGATGAATGAGGGTGTTTATTTGACTTTCTCCCCTCACCCCAGTTTTATAAAGTCTGGGATCTTTGTCCCATTGTCCCTGTTGGCACCACCAACATTCATGGTTTGTCTTCCTTCCTTAGTGAAACTTCTCTGGAAATGCCTTGCTGGACAAACCCAGCAGCATGTCTCCTAGGTGCTTCCAAGTCCAATTGCCTTGACAAGTCATCTGAGAGATCTTCTCTACCTACTCACACATACTGTTAAACTACTGTCTACTTGACCATAAGGATGACTTACATTTTATACACATAATTATAGACCATCCTGGGAAAGCATGCCAAGACGTAATCACAGAGTTATTTAAAGGGAGGTTGAGGCTAAAGTTGCCTGGAAGCCAGACTAACTTTTATAATAACAATTAATCAGAACCTGGAGAGCTGTCACTGTGGCTGCTAACAATAGCTGATTCTATTAACCTCAACAGGACTTTAATTACTATTGCTGTGACAAAAGGAAGGCCGGAAAATCTTTGTGGCACTTTTTGAATTAAACCTCTTACTTTTCTGCAGTGTGCAACTCACACAAGTCTTCCCAAATTCTCATGAAACTCAAGTGACAAATATACAAGTCCCTGGAATAAAAAGATGTCCAGTTATTTTTGTAAAAAAAGCCACATGGGATAGGCAGAGGGGCTTGCAGCCATGAGCAGTATTATTGGCATCTCTGGAACAGTGTGCATGTTTCTGTGCTCTGCAGATGGCAGGCAGTGGTCCTGGGTATGGAGTGAGACCCAGGAGAAGAGGAGTCAGTGTGGATGGCCACATAGGTGAGACAAAGGATGTGAAGAGAGCATCTCAGAAGTGGGGAAGTGGGGATGAGAAGGACATCACATTCAGGAAGGTGAGAGTGATACTTTGTGTGCACTGACCTGACCAGTATCAGGTGAAACCTGGACATGTTGTGACACATTGCAGACATCAGAACTTTCTCTTAGAGATTTAAACTCTCTTAACCGGAAGATGCTTCAATCCAGGTTCTGGAAACCTTTAGGAGGGGTTAAAAGGTCTAAAAATGTATAACCCCCAAGATAAATACAAAGGCAGTCTCTAGGCATTTCTGTTCAATAGAAACACAATCCAGTGAATTTGAATCTGAAGAATCAAAGTTGGAACTCATATAGAGATATTTTTTCAATTTCGGAAGTATTTTAGTCAATAAGGCTTTGGGGATAGTGGTTGGTGAACTTCCATTCACTCTACATTTGTAAGCTGCAAGATGCTTATATTAAGTTGTTTCAGGGAATAAAGAGTACATGAAGTACATGCATTACTGACCCTCTCCTACAGTTGAAAAGTCATTAGGAATAGAAAGAAATATGGAATCACTTAGGTTCAAGTTCTGTCTGATTGAAAGCCCATCTGGCAGTCACCACTCCTCTCTTGTGTGGCAAAGGTTTACAGAGGAAATGCAGACACAAGGATGAACTGGCAAGAGGCTGAAGGGCTGTGTGTAAATACCTAGAGACGCACCAACCCTGACAACCGTGGCTTAGCATGGAACCTTCTGATGGACGGAGCTGTGCAGAAGCCTGTTGCTTGCACAGAAGTTCAGGAGCAGGCGAGCTGTTGGAACCTCTCAGCCTGACTGCCACTAGCTCTGTGATCTGTATTATTCAGACATACTGTATTATATATAATGCATTTTTAGTTATTTTTGTGGGCATGATTTATTTGAACTTAAAATCGCATGTTCATGAGCCCACTATAGTTAATATATGTCTACACAGCCTTGCATAACATATTTTTTCCGTGGTAGTCGGTGCTCTATTAGTGTACATATAGCTGTATTGCTATAGTTCCCTTCTAAGTTGTAGCTTTGATAATAGAAATGTGGCATTCTTATTTAGTTTTACTTTTAAATGTTTCATTTATTCACTTATTTTTAAGTTTATTTTTTGAGAATTATATATATGATTAAGAGATTTAATTATTGCACTTCATTATATATACAATTAAATCTTTTTAGTCTGACTTCTTCGTAGGATTCCAGAAGCCCTTCATTTCTTTCAGCTAACTTGCATATTTGCTTGTGCTTGATTTGCTTTCACAAACCTTTGTAAGTTGTCTTCTGACTATAATATAATTTTGTCTTGCTCTTGGGGCAAATTAAAAAGTTTTTATCTTAATATGGATGTTAACCCTGCACATATTTGTTGGTAAATATTTTAAGGGTCTCTAAATACAGATTTATTTGTTTAGGTCACTTTTATGATTTGTGTTATAATTATTATCAGCATTTGAAATTTTATTATATGTTCCTTTAATGTGTTATCTTTGACTATCTTTTTAAATTTTGTTTTGGTATTTTGGAGAATTATATTTTTTGTCCTAGTAGTCAATTCAGCTTTACTTAACTTTAAGATTAATGCTATTCTATTCCCTTACCTAATTACTGTCTAGTATCAGTTTTAATTAAGATCTCCTCACTTCTGTAAATTTTGAGTACAATAGTTAATGAGCTTTTATCTCTTGACCATTTTCATTTCCACTTATCACCTGAATTTAGTTGCATAGCTCTCACTTAGAAAACATGCTGTAATCAACACAGGCTTGTCCTGCTTCTAGCTTTGCCCCAGATCCACAGTCCCTATCTCTGCAAAGTTGCTGGAAGAAGACCTTCCAGGGCCTGGGCCTTAGAGGCTCAGAGTGCAGATGTTGTGATTGTGAATGACTTCCCTTCCTCTCTTTCTCACTCTCCCCTCCTTTTCCACCTCTCTCTTCCAATCCATCCCTGTCACCTTCTCTCCTCACCCCTTCAATTTCAAAAGTTTGCTGGTCAGTAGTATGATTGCTAACTTCCATTCGCTTTACACCTGTTACTTATATGATACTTGTTTAAAGTTATGTTGTGGAATAAAGAGACTTGGATGAAGTATATGCATCACTGATCCTCTTGTAAGGTTGGAAGAGTTACCAGGAATAGAAAGAGTATGGCACAAGTTTATTCAGCTCTGTCTGACTTGAAAGCCCATGTGAATGACCAGTGGCTCTTTGATCCTGCAGGCCATGATCCCTCATCTCTTATGTGGCAAATGTTTACAGAAGAAATCTTGGTAGAGACCTATGAATGAACTGGACAAGCAACATGAAGCCTACAAAATGTGTGAGTTTAAATTTACAATTCAGTTGATCGGAAAGGGTTTTAACCAGAAACGGTTTTCAAGTGTTCTTAGGAAATGGAATTTGTCTTACATCTTCATGGAGTCATATGTGGAAAGCAATTACTCTGTGTCTACTTAAATCAGGCTCTCTTTCTTGGTAGAATTAAATTAGTATTCTGTCTTACATATTGATTGGGTAGAACAGCTATATTCCTAATTCACTTTGAAGTTCTATACTCACGACTAGAAAGAAACTAATAGGTATTTGTTGCTTTTGTAAACATTGATTATGTATGGTTGTATTCAAGATGAGCACGTGTGCTTCTGAAGATTGACTGAATCATTTTGTTCACAAGTAGTATTGAATATCTCATTTCTCTCCCATCTCTCTTTTGGGAAGAATGCTGACCAGGTTAGATCACAAGGTCCCTAGCACCATGGTTCATAGGACACTTACTATAGAGTTTTCAGAGTGTCTAGAGACAGGAGTCAGGGTGATGTGGTCTTGTAGGTGAGAGCTGAAAATATCACCACTGTGCTATAAAACCAGTTTACACACAGTGTGTAGATAAACAGAAATCAGCAAAAGGAAGAAAGAAAGCAGGTGTACTGGATGCTGTCACTGCATGGGTAACTGTGTCCTTCCAAAATTTACACCACAGTATAATCTCTGATACAACATCATGTAGTGGCTTGAGTGGGGATGTCCCCATGATCTTGTCTGAACACTTGGCTCCCAGTCGGTGGTGCTGTTTGAGGAAGATTGGGAAGTACAATCTTGTTGGAGGAAGTGTGTCATTGGAGACACACCTTGAGGATCTAAGGATTCACTCCATTTCCTGTTCACAGTCTTCTGCTTTGTGCTGTGGTTTGAGATGTGAGCTCTAAGCTTGCTACTCCAGCCACCAAGGCTGCCACTTGCTTTCATGCTGTCTCCGTCATTAGGGACTCTAACCCTCAGGAGCTATAAGTCAAAATAAACTATTTTCCCTGTGATTGTGTTAGTCATAGTGTTTTATCACAGCAACAGAAAAGTTGTGGTGATATTTTATTTGTATGTTAAAAAATAAAGTTTGCCTGGAGATCAGAGGACATAGATAGCCAGCCATAAACAGAAGTCAGGTGGTGGTAGCATACGCCCTTTATCCGATCACATGGCAGGCAGAATCTCTGTGTGTTCAAGGACACAGCCAAGCGTGGTGACACACGCCTTTGATCCCAGTACCAACCATAGAGACCTGGAGATCTGTACAGACAGGCAGTGACAAGGAAGTGAGGTGGCTGGGCTAAGAACCAATGAGAAGGCAGAATAGCAAGGCAATAAAGGCACAGGTTAAACAGGAAGAAACTGGTTCTCTTGGGAGAAGTGTGGTGAGTAAGGTTAGTTGGTGGCTATCACTATTTATCTGATCTCCAAGGCTTTCATTCCTATATTTGGCTCTGTGTTCCTTATTTAATAAGACTATTTAGAAATTCGTCTATAAAAAGTAACTAGTGTTATATTAGCATTGTAATATACACCATTATACAACACTAATGATCAGGTCATGAACGCTCTGCTCCATGAATGAGGGACTAGGTGGCTTAGAAGAGGGCTTGATGGGAGAGTTCACTCCTCTTCCTGCTCCTCTGGCCCTCCTGCCAAGTGGGGATGTGGCCCTACCCCATCAGAGGATGCAGAAACAGGATGCTCTATTGGAAGTGGACCCAGCTCTCCCCAGACACCACTATTGCTGGGACTCCAGTTGTAGACTTTGAGACTCCAGTGTTATGACGATTTTCTGCTCATTATAAATTATTCAGCCTCAGGTATTTTGTTATAAAAATCACAGTTTGGTGGAGACAGTACCTGCTGCTATGTCATAAATAGCCCCAGAATCATGATAGAGAACAGCAGTAGTTGTCTGATGCTTGTTGTTCAGCATGGTAGGAATTTGGACATGTCATGTTGTGTTACTGTATCGATGGTTTTTATCTACCCTGTGACATCTAATATCACGGCTGGAAGGACCTGACTGATTGGAGGGTGTGCTAGAACACCTTGGAAGGCTAGGCTTATGTGTGCATCTATGTGGCCTGAGGTTGTGTGGCTGAGGTGGTCACTCTCACACCATAACACAGGGCATCATGTTGGTATCCCTCAAGGTCTTCCAATTTCTTACATGGCAACTGTGTTCCCAAGTGAGTGTTGCAGTGGGTCAAGGCCAAAGCCACAGGGCCTTCTACGATGAAATGAATGCTATAGCTATTTCTTAATGGTGCCACAGCTATGACAGGCATTCTAGGCATAAATCACAGGCATTTCTCTTCCTGCTGTTCTGGGGACTGGAATTTGCAGGTCTAGCTATGGGCAGAGCATGCTCCTTGCGTACCTCTTTCCCTGGGTTGCAGATGGCCTTGTCTGGCTTCTCTCATGCTCACACCTTGGAGCTGCAGTCCTGTGTGTCCCTCTTTCATTTTCTGACAAGGACACAAAACAGATGGGTGAGGATCCCAGCTGAAGACCTCAGTTTAACCCCGCTTATCTCCAGATACAGTCCCATCATGCTGCAAGCTCCTTCCTTCTTACATAAAATGGGTAGACTCAAACTTCCCATCTTACTTTTGTACGGTGGTCTATGGAGCCCATTCACAGATAGCAACTTTCTGAGAAGCTCACTAAGACCCCATAAATTCTAAAGACTCAGGGAATTCTGGGAAGAGGCTTTTCAAGACACAGGAAGTAAACATCTCAGAAGGCTCAGGAAGTGGCTAAATCTGACTAGATGTACCAGGCCTCTCCCTCCCCGTGCTTATATCTAAGCAGTAAGGGCAGCTGAGGAAGAGCGAGGCCAGCTGAGATGCCTGGAAGAAGCATGTGAGGTGCCTCCAGGCTGTGCAGTGTGCTCTGGGTTCCAGCTTCGTGAGCTGCCACCCATGCTGGGGTGGGCTTTAGTGATGTAGCCATCTTTGAGTCATTTCTGTTCCCATAAGAAGCCTCTCACCCATACTCCTGTTAGTAGCCCTAATAAAAACTCATTGGTTCACCAAGTTGGATTTGGGCGGTGTCTTTAGTCTGTGGTTGGTGAATAGCCGAGAAAATTGGTACATGTTCTGTACAGATACATTTGCTTTGGTACCCACTAAACCTCGAGCCACTTACACTGAGCCATGTGCTTGGCTTTTTAAAAAACATTTTATTGTCACACAGCCTCACTAAATTGCCCAGGCTATTCCTGACCACCCTCAATTTCTTTTTAATCCTGTATTTTCAATCCAGACTTGGTTGAATCTGTAGGTGTGAAAATGCCTAGATCCATTTTACAATACTCTAAAATAAAAATTTCCCATGGCAGTAAATCAAAATTACAGAGCGAACCCTTTTGTTTCTGAAGTTGGTAATTCTCCATTGGGGGCCTATGGGAAGATTCTCAGACTTTCCTGCTCTTCCTGGGAGATTGTCTTCTGCTGGGGACTGAGGGACATTTGTATGCACAGCACCTGCTGTGGGACTTAAGCGGCTTAATAAGAAATAACCAAGGGCTTTTGTGCTGAGGTGTCAAACTGGCAAATGAAGGTACATGAAAGTTTCCTCTGAACTTTAGGAGAGGAAAAAAAAGTGAGCATGCTGCAGAATACTCTCAGGTGTTTCGCTGTCTGGGCACAGAATGCAAAGCAATTGAGGACACCTGTCTGTCTCAGACATTGCACTGGATGGAACAAACAAAGGTGATCCGTGTCCCATAAATTTCCGTTAGAGAAGGGCCTGGGAGGGACACATAGCAGAGTGCTTGAGTGCGATTTATGAAAACATACATGGCTTTTGTTCTTAAAAAAAGAAAAACCACTATTTGCAAAACATGTGCCTTAACTTCTAAGCTCTGGTCCTTTCAGACAGCAGAAATTTAGTGGCTGATGTTAGTTATGTACATTTCTTTCGTTAAAATTAAGCACTTTTACTTTTGCATCTTAAAATTTGATGGAATTGTAATTTTCCCGGGTTTTAGTAGCTCTAAATCAAAATTGGTCAAATCAATTTAAGGATAATTTAGTGAAATAAAGCATTTCTGTGCAGTCTGACAGCTTCCATGAATAATGCATCTTTAATAGCTGCCAATTAAGGTAGTTTCTGGAGACTTATGATGGAGGTGGGGATATCCCTAAGGGTGATTCATGGCACCGACTCAGGCCATTCTTTGGACAAAGTGACTGTGACAGCATATAAATGCCTATATGATAGAAATGTAACAGAAAATGTTTCCCGTGACTCTGTCTGCTCTACCCTGCTTCCTCTTGTTCCATTCTTCCAGCCAGTGATTCCAGAACTGGAACCACAGAACCTCTGAACCCAAAGGGACCTATCAAGTCATCTTTTCTAACCCGCTTTCACACCAATTCCTCATTATAATATGCAATTTCTATACATTATGCAAAGACCACAGAACCTGAGTGTGCATCAACCCCTCCAAGGATATGCAGAATCTGGAATTCCATAAGATTAAAGAAAATATTTATAATGGTCAACATCAGAAGCCTGAAATAAATGGAAGAAGCTGAGGAATATGACCAATAATCTGAGCCATGTGTGGGAAGAGGAGTATGACCAATGATGTAAGCCATGTGTGGGAAGAGGAGTATGACCAATGTGAGCCATGCATGGGAAGAAATGCCAGAGACAGACTTAGGTGAGGGTCAGAGAGGAGAAAGTCTTTGTGACATGGGCTGAACAATGCCACCCCTCTGTCATGTACAAGCCCACAGTCTTCTTGTTGAACATGGGGTAGGGATGTGGGACTCTGATACTGGCCCTGTAAAGAGGCCCTGTCCAATGTTAGCAAGTGGTGGCTCCCCCTTCTTCTGTGGGAATCCCTGTTCTAATGTATTCCCTGAGTCGTCTTCTGAGCTCCTTCTGTCGGTTCAAGCACCCAGCCCCGAGGACTGTGAGAGAAGACGGGAGAGCCTCACAGGAAGGCTACTTCTAGTGGTCCTGCCAGCTGCTCTCTCTCCTCATCCGTAGGCAGAG